GACCCAGGCTGTTATCCGACTCTTATTTCAAGACAACTTCAGGCCACCGTCGGACCAATTCACCAGTCAAAGGAATGCTCGGCTTAGCGCTTGTAATACCCATATCACACTGGTGATTGGAGTGTCTGCGTTTGCGTTTGCGCTTGCGATTTGACATTTCTCAACACATTTTAGTGTGTCAAATAAAATATGTATTTTATAAGACGAATATTTGCATTTCATTCTTATATTTGGATCGAATAAGTGTACAATGTAAATGACTTTAATATACACCCAGTGTGCATTAGTGTAGTACAGGCAAGGAAACATAGTATAAGTGATGCAATCTTTCTTAAACTAAAGGCCATTTTTATAGACAAAATCTTGCAGGCTGTATAGTGTTTATTTCCACAGCGTACACACACGCACGTACGCGCTCTCTCTCTCTCTCTCTCTCTCTCTCTCTCTCTCTCTCTCTCTCTGCGCGCGCGCGCGCACACACAACACACGCACGCACACACACACAGGGTGTTCCAAAAAGTTCGGGACACCTAAATATCTCGGGAAATATAAGTTTTACAGAAAAGTGTTTCAGACAAAAGTTATATGGTTTAAAAATATCTATTTACTGATCCTATCAGTTGGATTGCGTAGCCAAGGTTAGGTTAAGGTTACATTGATTTTCTTAAATGGAACACCCTATTTTTTATTCAAGAATCTAATAGCTGATGTTGAGAGCTTTCCAAAACGCTATAATAAAATATTTTTTCATGAAGTACTTTTCAAGTTATAATGCTTGAAAGTTACAGTATGGCCGGCACTAGCATTACCTAGAGACCCTTTAATAGAGACTGGACAATCTTGTCAGAGTTTTCATTGTTTGAGTAACAATATGGCGGAACCAATTGATGCTTTCATATTCCTACTATTAGCGCGCGGTAAGATTTGGTAAGGAAACAAACATTTACTTTTTAAATGAAATAATTATTAAAAAGATAGAAAATACAGTTTATACATACAATTTATACATTATATATTTATTACAAAATAATGTGATTACTTAATAATAGAATGCATGGCCATGATCTTACTACTAAGAACTGATTTTCTTAATTTTGATTCTTTTTTGCACAGCGTTTTAATCCGAAATCGGATGAAATATTTCATTATTTTATTACATAAATCATGACAATTTTCTATAGTCTCACATCGAACATGAATCATTTTTTGAGTCAAAAACATGATTAAATCATTGTTCATGTTTTTTAAGTAAGGAACATGTCTAATAATAATTTCCATTTCATGAAAATAATTAAACGTTTCCTTGTTTACATAAAATAATGTTTTAGTTTTATAACATTTTAAAAATACAAATTTTGAAAATTTTATATTAGGATTATAAATTTTTGATCCTGTGGAATTTAAACAATTGTTGCAAATTTTATTTCTCTTACAAATTCTAGTCATAACATAACCATATATATAATACAATGAGTTCATATTTCCAGATTATTTAAATTATTAATCCTATTTTCTGCTTCAAGAGGGATTACAGGAACTTGTTGAATTGTTCCATTTTTATCTATTCTACGAGGGTGTTTAAAAAAATCAACGATTAAAGTACCATCATCTTGTTCATAATTTGTATTCTCCAGTCTTTGTAAATATTGAGAAACGCTTAAAATTTTTAAACTCTGTTTAAATTGGAATGTGTTTGGAACGGGAAATTTTTTTCTTATATTTGAAAATAAATTTTCTACACAATCTTGTGTGAACCGATCACCTAACACGAATTGATATCCTCGTTCATTAAATATTTTGTAAGTTGTATAAGAGATTGTGTTGTTATCATTATTCCAGTTTGCACTGGTTAAAAATTTCATTTTTGCCAATTTTCATATTACGAAATAATTCAATAACGGATTCTAAGAACTCGATTTTTTCGTTAAATTTATTAAAAGATTCTTCATCTCCTTTCTTTTTTCCTAATGCGAGACGTGGAATTCGCGAAGTAATTATTGTGATCCATTTAGAGATAATTTCAATAAATAAAGCTGTCGTCTTATAGTCTTCTTTGTTTCGTCTCCCAGAAAATTTAAAGCACTGCTAACATCTCTATTTAGCATATTAGTAGCTTTATTAACTTTCATCTTATTAAAATTTGTCAGTGTGATAACATTTTTATCTAATTTTGGTGCAAGTTTGAAATATAAGTTTTCTTGTTCATTTATTAATTCTTCTAAATGAGAAACTTGAACAGTACATGAAGATAATTTGTATGATTGTTTAAATTGATCTGGCAACATAATGACTTTATTGTTGATTAAAGCTGTCCTAAGATTTTTAAGGAGATGTGAAGCATCGGCAAAAAAAACGATTTACGTTTATTATCTATTGGATGAGAGACAAAATTTCGAATGTCAGAATATTTACCAGCAGAAATATTACAAAATGCTCTCCACATTGCTCGATTTACTCCTCCCATGTCTGATGTAACACTATGTACATACAGGCCTATAGATTCAGCCTTTTCAATTATTTGTTCGAGACAATAGGTTTTAATTGTACACTATTGAAACCATCAGGAGTGTAATAATATGCTACAATCTGCTTCCATAGATAAAATATACCGGCAAGTATAAAAACTAACCCATGAGTCGCTTGTACGAGGTGTGATCAAAAAGAAACGAGAATTTTTGAATTGCGCGCATTGTAGTGTATCGATTTGGTTAAATGTTGTTTTTTTCAAGTTGTTAGTACTGTCAGTGAAGTACGCACCAAGTTTCAAACTGGTGTGATCCTCAGTTTGTTTTCGGTGAGCCATTAAGTAAGACGCTCTTGAGAGTATTCTGCGATCTTGATATGTGGCGACATGTCGGAACAAGAAATTTATTAAAAATTTTGTGTTAAAAACTAATGGCCCAGAACTCCAACGCGTTATGACTGGTGATGAAACGTGAGTGTATGGCTAGACGTCAAAGCAAAGGCTCAATCATCACAATGGAAGTGTTCTGAGGAGCCGAGACCGAAAAAAGCGCGTCAAGTGAAGTCAAACATGAATAAGGTTCTTCTTACCCTTTTCTTTGACTACAATGAAGTTGTGTACTTTGAATTTCTACCAACAGGTCGCACAGTTAATAAAGAGTATTACTCACAAGTTATGCGCAATTTACGTGAATCTATCTGAAAAAAACAACCTGAATTATGGGAAGAAAACTCATGGATTTTATACCATAACAATGCACCGGCACACACCGCATTAATTATCACGCAGTTCTTGGCGAAACACAAAACTACTGTGATGCCGCGCCTTCCTATTCTCCAGAAATGGCCCCTTGTGACTTTTTCCTATTCCCTAAACTCAAGAGGACCCCTAAACGACGTTTTTCAACGATAGAGGAAATAAAGAAAAAATCGCTAGCCGAGCTGAAGGCAATACCTAAAGAGGCGTTTCAACAGTGCTTTGCAAGCTGGAAACAACGTTGGCAGAAGTGTATTGTATTATAGGGGAACTGCTTTGAAGGAGACAGTATAAAAATTGATGAATAAATTAATACTTTTTGAAGAAAATTACAATTCTCGTTTCTTTTTGATCACACCTCGTATTATTTCTCCTAAATAAAAAGATTTAAAGCAGAAGAAAGGAAAAGAACATATTAATAAGAACCATCGACATAGTAATTATATAGAAATTAAGGAATCATGTAAATAAAATATGAAAAAAAAAATGTAATTACGAAGTTTCATTAAATTTACCGTGACTATTAGCAATGGTAGCATTTCCAATAATTAAGTTGGTTGATGCGTCATGTTGTTCACTAGGTGTAAGGCAGTGATGCACATTTGGCTCCTCGGCAACACAGAAACCCGCCCCACCATTTCGCCGCTGCGCAAGAGCGAGCGAGACAGTGAAACTCGCTGTCTCGCTCGCTCTCGCGCAGCGGCGAAGTGGTGGGGCGGTTTTCCGTGTTGCCGGGGAGCCAAATGTGCATCACTGGTGTAAGGCTCATTTCGTCAAATGCCAACATGCAATCTTTTTCTCTATCATCTTCAAATTGTAATATTTTGCATCTCAAAGCCTCAAAAATGGCATCACATATTCCTGATTCAAAATTAAGTGCTTCAATGCTTCTTCGAAGTGTGCGTGTTGATGGTAATGGAATATTTTGCTTTATAAGTTCTTTGTAGCCGTTTTCAGTACAAGAAAATTTTATTCGTAGCGCTTTTTTGATTGTTTCTTTAGACCATCTATATACTTTACGTTTAGAAGTATATCTTTGAAGCCATTCAATTTGATCTTTATTAAAAACTTTATTTAGTATCTTTGATGATTTTAACAAATTTGTTTCAAGGTATAATCTTTTTGAGCTCTTCAATTTTCTTATACGCTGGAGTAGATGTTTCTTCGCTTTTTTGCCTTTGCAAATGATCGTGTTGGCTTTGTTAAGCTTTGTTTCTAAATCTTTTATTTTCAATAAAGCAGATTGTAATGCTGATTGATTAGCATCTGAGTTTGGTATTGTTGCAATGATATCAGTTCGATTTTCAATATTCAATTCAGTCAATTGAGTGTCCTCCAAATTGTATTCGTTATTATTAATAACAGATTGTAAATTAATATTCATTGATTGATTAATTATTCGAGTTAGACATCGATTTTTTAAAGATATTCATCGAAGTAGTCTCATGAATGTTTGTAATGGTTTGTAATTCCTTAACAACATTTTTCTCCAAATCGTTTGAAGTGTCTGCATATTTTTTCAAAGGATGAGATTTTGAAACAGACGTGGAAGTCTCATTTGATGGATGTACATTAGAGATAGTCTTACTAAGCTCTTGACAGTGATTCATTTGCATATCAAAAATAATTATTCTGTTAGATTATATTCAAAATATCTTTAAAAACAAATAAATATACATTACAATAAACAATTTTTTCTTAGGATTTTAATTTTTCAAGATACATACGTTTTGAGTTGGAAAAATTGTTGGTACAGCATTACATTTTAATTATTGTTTTCCATCAACTCTAGGCTTTTCCCACATGTCCTTTGAAAAGTGAATCTAAAAATAACATTGTAACATTATTGTTATGGTTGAGTACTCGAGGTACTTTTGATTTTATGAATATACACACTACGCAAAAAAATTAAAGGATCACTTAAGTCCACCTCAAAAATAGGTCAAAATTCAGAAGAATGTAACTTCGTAAAAAATGATC